AAATATGGGCAATTGCGGATTTTGTCGGACATTTCGGAAATTTGCATTCTGGGCGAAATTAGTATCGCCCAAATTTCAGATTCGGATTTGGCGAAACATTTGGTCTCGCCCGAAACATTACCTGTAGCGCTTAAATTACTTTGAGGATCATGAAGTAATGGTGGAGCATTCATTAAGATATACAATAAAGGATGGACCTGATCATTTGAAAATAAAAAATTTGACAATTTAAAAGAGTTGAATTGTTCCGGAAATGGAAATTTAATTCCTAATAAATGATTACAATGAACATTGCAGAAATAATATTACTAGTCTTGATTTAAGCGAATGCCCCGAGTTAAAAAAACTTGACTGTTCGAGTAATGCTGGATTAACTGAACTAAATATTAATAATTCTTCAAATTTATCAAACATTAATGTTATTGGTTTCCTACGCAATTTAGTATGTGATAATACACCTTATTCTCCCGATGAAATAATTAAACAATCCAGAAAGTAATCATGGATGTCGAGAAGCGGCATATTATAATGGGTATTGTAATATGCACCGGAGGCACCCTTGTAAAAGTGAAAGAATGTAATTCACGAATTCATTTTCGAAAGAATACTACTCTTCCCATCAGTCAACTTGTAAAATACCTGGCTGTTCCTTCCGAGCTTCTTTAAACAGCGAGTGTGCTTACCACATAAGAGAGAAAGAAAGAGACGAATATCGCAAGAGCGAGAGCAAGAGAAATAACAAGAACGAATGAGACAAATAGCGCAAATTCTTTACGAAAGTGATCAATTGCATGAGCAAATAGCAGTAAAAGAAATTATGTTAAAGCAATTAATTGGTTCAAAATTATCTAGATAGTTTATTGGCTGCCCAGAAGCAATTTGACCAGCAAAAATCATTGCAAGCACAATTAAAACAAAAAGAAAAGGAATGTTTGATTAAGAAATTAGGGGATGAAAAGGTCCAAAACCTATGTCAAACTCAAGTGGAGCTAACTAAATTGGAAGTAGATTTTTATTAATTCAATTTTAAATTTGGTGTGTAAACATTGTGATATACTCACTTTTTTAAATTATGAATTAACTAATTATATATTTGAAAATTTATTTGAAATATACGTATGAATTTATCTTATAAAAAGCTATCAATATTGCATTAAAATAATTTTTTATATGAAATAATTTTTAAATAAATAAACTTTTATTAAAAAATAATTCATTTTAACATACATATTTTAATAAATTTTAATAAGATTTGTGATAAGACATAATATTGCAGTAATAGAAATATTTTAATTATAACTAAAAAATATTAATGATTTATTATCCGTTACAGAAACAAGAACATAAGCTTTTTTAGTAATATTCTAACTATGTGTTTATCGGTTTCGTTGAAGATATTAAAATGATTCAACTAAGAGAAATATCTTTTTACGATAAATTTATTCAAACTTTACCAATAAAAATTATTATATTAAATATTTTATGGTAATCCGTCATTTACTAATTTGATTGTTGTTTTTTTTTAATGGCAACATTTTTTATGCGGAACCTGTTTCGTATTCACGAATTATTGGGACTGGCATTTATATTTATAATTTATATTAATATGTAATTACAACTATTATTTTTTATATAAAATTTAATACAGTATTTATATAAACTAACTTCTGTTTCTTTGTCACAGAATGTTGACTTGCTTTAATATAAACTTACATTTCTATACTTAAAAAGATCAAGCCTGTAGATCTCCCACAAAAACATTAATCAATGAATCTACCCCTAACGTGACTTAACCCTAATCTAAATAACCCTAACCCCTAACCCTAACATCCCAATTGGTTAAAAATCACGAGGGGGTAAAATTTTTTGTGGGATAGCTACCGTACGTTGTGAAGGGCAATATCGATCCGGAATCTCAAAATATGGCCCTCACGGATATCAACTAACACTAAACTAACACTAAACTAACACAAACTATACAATAAACTACTAAATCTATCTAAACCCTAATAGCGGCAGGCACGAAAGAGGCGTGGAAGACTTGGTCCGAATTATTAGAGTCAAATAGAGCTCTAGACTATGTCACGAAGCTCTTATTCAGGATCACGGGATTAGACTACTAGTTCTATGCGAATTTGATTTATCGGGGGGTAATTAACAAAGGAAATACTGGATTCAGAGTATTGAATTCTAGTCGAGTTCTACTCCCCACTGCTTTATTGTGAAGACAAAAGACATCGTATTTATAGTTTTTACATTGCTATAGCACAAATTATACTAATTCACTAATTCTACTAAAAATAGATAATGACAACATACAAAGGTACGAAAAGTACAGAAAGTGCAAAGAGTACAGTTCAAGAAGTGCGAAAAGTTCAGTACAAGAAGTTCAAAAAGGACACAATTTCCGAATAAGGTAATGATGCTCTTATTCTATTTCTGGAGCGTAACATTTAAAAAATATAAGGATAAAAATAGGCCAATCTTCCTACTAAATATATATTTTCGATCCACTATATACAAAAAATAGTTTTCAAGCCACAATTCACCCTTTCACAACGTACATAAATTATTGTTCTTGATCATGTGAGCATATCGAAGTTTTGGATTCATGATTAAATTATTGGCGTACTTTCCGTAAAACTTTGTATTATATTGTCATAGCTATTTATATTTGGATGGTTTATGATTCCAGATTTATTTGTATATTATTTTAGTGATTTTAGGTAAAAAAAAAAAAAAGTCTATAGTATTAAGCTTATGGATCGTTTATCAATATCAATATAGAAAGAGATTATTTTTAACTTGGTTAAAAAAATGAAAAGAAAAATCAATGTAAAAAATAAATAGCAGCCGAATAATAAGAATATTAATGTAGCTAAAACTAATAATGTTAAAATGCTGTAGTTAAATCATAAATTATAATTTAAATATAGTAGTTAATTTATTGTTATATATTACGTATATATTGGGCACAGAATATTTTTCTTTACAAAATTTCAAAATGTAAACAAATAAACCAATATACCCAAAATTTACATGTATTTATAAACAATACTTCAATTGTGATTTAATTGATTTTAGCTTTAAATTTACAGTATATTGATTTTATTTTAAAAATATACAAATTAGATTTATACATATTTACTTTTAATTTAAAAAATAACTCAAGGACATCTAAAATAAAATTTAAATTAGTCACAAAAAAAAAAAAAAAAAAAAACAATATAAAATTATTTTTATAAATAATTTGTATAGAATTTTAAACCCAAAAATTAACTAATTTTTATTAAAAAGTCGCGGCTGATGCTGAAATTGGGATTTCTAACCTTAAATTCAACCCAGCCCTAAAAAAAAAAAAAAAAAAAAAAAAAATCTAAATATACCTCCAAAAAAATAGGTCCAAATCTCAGCATTGACCGCAACAATTATTAACCGGTTCTACGAAAATTGGTATCATGTGCTTTTTTTTAATAAATTACAAAATTACAAAAGATCAGATTGTCTCTTAAGAATAATGCTGAGTAATGCTGAGTAATGCTCTAAAGTTTTCCTCTCCGTTCTAGTCCAATAGAAAGATTAAACTATTAAGATTATTTGATATTACATTGCATTTAAATAAATATCAATCTTTAGCAGAATTTACACCATATTCAGAGATATTTAGCTTCGATTATATTTTATTTATATTATTTGCGGAATTAATTGAATATTCTGGTCTCGTCCCATTATGATGTAGTGATCATGCATTCCAGTTTCAGTTGAATATTTCACATTCATAAAATAAGTTTTCATAAAAACTTTGATATGGTCACTATTAATAGAAGATCGCAATTGACAACTTCAATATAATACGTGTAGTAATTTCTGCATGTATTTATAGTATCTTTCTCAATTTTATTACCATATATTACCGAATAAAGGCGACCTCTTAATAAAAACAACCTTCTAGTTTTGGAACTAAAAATTCTTGTGAAAGTTCTTATATTTTAATACCTAAATAGAAGTTATCTGAAGCAATCTTCATTTTAATCATGTAATCCGAAAGAACTTACATTTTTTTCTTACATTTTGATTGCTTTTTCGGTAGCATATAAATTTTAATGATTTTTAATCTTATCAGTATTATTGTCCGAATAAAGCACATTTTAATTAGTACATAAGCATAAAGAATATTTAATCTAGGGAATATAAGAATATATTGATGCGCCATGGTACCTCTATATACTAATGTAAGATACTAATGTAAGCATTAACGCGTTTATTCTTCATCTAACGTTTCCATATTCTTTGCAACCCCAATTCCATTTTCATTTCTTTAACATGTTTTATTTCTGTTGATCTTTTTTACAGCATCTCTATCTCTACAGATTTTTGATAACAAATGAATACTTTATGTTCGTCTTTTTCAACTTTTTCAATCCATTTATCGAATGATAACAACTTATAAGAACCATTTGAACCAAAAGATTTGTTTGATTAGGTAAGCTAAAATGATGATATTATCTGGATTTGCTTTTTTTTGATTGAAAATTAATCTAATATGTCAATAATTAAATGTAATGTTTGTCTTTGATCTTTTCTCATTATACAGATTGCACATTTCTTTAACGATTTCATTAAGCAAATTCCAATTTCATACATTGTGTTCCAGTCCATAAACGTCTCATTTTTACTAGATCTTGATAATAATGGATGCCTCTATGCTTTTTTTCAATTCCATTATATTCTGACATCATTAAATATTCTATAGTGTCACCCACTTCTTCAATTTGATAATAAGTGAACGCTTTATGTCAGTCATCCTTTTCAATTCCATCATTAAGATAACAATATCCAATGCTAATTGTTCTATTAGATTTTTGAAAACAAATGAATGCTTTATTTATTTTCAACTCCAATTCCAATAAGATAACAAATTTCAACACACCTGTATCTGTCGATTTTTTGATAATAAAATAATGTTTATGTATTCTTTTTTTTCTTCAAATTTTTTTGTAAATCATTTTACATGACTTGCCATGACATCTTAAAATATTTCCTTAATTTTTATTTATTTGATTTTTTTTTATAGTGAATAATAACAAACAATAATGTTATTCGCAAATGGGCAAGTGATAATCAATTGATTATCTACAATAGATATTAATATGTTGTCAATGCGTAACGGTAATACGTAGTAAGCATTAATGGAAATTAAATAATGGGCGTTATTATTAATTAATATAAATTAATAATGGGTGCATTAATGGAAATAAAGAATGGGCGCGTTATCATGTGTATTGTACCTAATACGTACGTACGTACAAGGTAACAATAGCATATAAATGAGTGTGTGAGAGTGAAAATCAGGAAATGAAATTTATGATTGGTTAAATTTTATTTCCTGGTTTTTATCTATTTCATTGAAAATATTAAAAATGATCCCACGTCAACCAAGAGAAATATCTTTTTACGATGAATTTGATCAAACTGCATCAAAAAAAATTATTTCACGAA